CCCTCCCTCCCTCCCTCCCTCCCTTCCTCCCTCCCTCCCTCACCCCTCCCTCTCTCCCAATCCTTTCTATAACGCATTACTAAAAGGGGAATTTCCTTTAAAATTCATTAAAGGATATGAAAAATGCCTACCAAATACAGTTTCACTTTTGCTCAAGCCAGAGAGAAGGAAGTCTCACTCCAGAGGGCTGAGGGGACTGTTGATGCCAGGAAGAGAAATGAAAAGGTGACCACGATAACCTTTAAAGCAGCATTTCTAAGAGTTCAGTAGAAAGGTGAGACTTTTTATCCCAAGTTACAGATCTTAGTCCAGTGTGGTGACTCCTGCAACCTCAGCATTTGGACTACTGAAGCAAGAGGATTGCCACTAGTTTGAGGTCAGCCTGGGCTACAGAGAAACAAACTTCTGTTTTAAAACAATCTTTTATTTGCCCATCATATACATCTGAACATATATATCGATAAACATTATATTATTTTAGTAGCAACTGAATGATTTACTTTCTAGTATAAATCACAAAGTCTAATCTCTGACTTCCAAGCATTTGTATTTTTCCTAGTGTGATATAAACAAGAATAGTCTACTGTTCATGCTGCTTATTTTAATGAGAAGGAGATAGCCCATCTTCCATTGATTAGTTAGGCAGCAACTCTGAGGTCAAAATCGAGAGGTAGGTGACAGAGTCAGAGAGTGCACTTGACTGTGGCAGGCAAAGGATGGCAAAACAACATGCAAAGGAGAACTCTGGTTAATAATTACAGTTCCTTAGAAACACATGAGTACATCGGAAATAATCAAATAGAAAAAAACCCCACAGGCAACTTATTTGTCTATTTGAAACAATGTTTATCAAATTCTAAAAGGAATACTTTTTCATGGCTTTTTGTTGTGGTTATTTTGAAGACAAATATTCTTATTCTCTATAGATTTTAAAAAATATTCTCTCTTTAAGATTATTAACTGGTGTTCTCATGAGCCATCAATCAAAGATCTATAGAACCTATTAAAACTCCCAGGCTTCATTGATTGAAACATTTCACAACAGAATCAAAGTATTTCTAGTGAGATGGGACCTTTGGGCTCCCAGCCTGTGTTTGGAAAGGAGATGGTGCCAACAGCTCTCTGAAAAACTGAAAACACTGTTGTGAAGCAGCCCAGAGACGGATCTACATCCTTCCTTTGGCCAGTAGCACTGCCTCTTTCCCATTTTCTTCAAGTCTCCCCACCTTCCTCCCAGAAGGCTATCTTTTCTCCAGCTTTCTTTCTTTTTGCTGCTGGAGTCTTGTAGCTTTCCCTTCCTGTCCCTACTATGCTGGGACTCACTTTTTCCTTTCGTTAGGCTCTATTTCCCACACAGAGCTCATTCTTGGCTTTCCTTAGGTCTCCTTGCACAGGAGTATAGATGGGATGAATTTGGGGGCATACTGAGGTGGAACCCAAGGTCTCATGCACTCAAAGCACATGCTATACTACCAATCCACATCACCAGCCCCAATAAAATAGTTTTGAGTCAGTCTATGCAATAATGTACAACAGACACATATGTGAACATCCCTTAAATGTAGTGTTTGTCCATTGCTGATAGAAACTTGTCTTCTTTGGCATAAACTGCTGCATTCAAGATGTAAGATCAAATACTTTAGTTTTGGGTATTGTTTGCTGTCTCTGAATAAAAGACACTGCCAATGAATAATGGTAGTTATGGGTGTGTCTATGAAAGTGTTTCCAGAAAGGTTTATCCAAGCAGGGAAGACCCATCTTGAATGTGCAGACACCATCCTATGGGCTGGGGTCCTAGATTGAACAGAAAGAGCAAGTGAGCAAAGCACAAATATCCATCTCTCTCTGAGATGACTGGGGCACAGTGTGACCTGCCAGCTGTTGATCCTACTGTAGGCCTTCCCCCAACAACATTGTCTGTATCCTAACTATGAGCTAAAACAAACCCTTCCTTCCCTCAATTGCTTTTGTCAGTTACTTTCTGTGTTCTTTTTCTCCTTTATCACCTATAAAATTATGCACTGGGGGTGTGGTGCTGTGCACTAGGGCGATTATACAACACTGTCTACTTTATATGTATGTTCATGAACTTGTACATGTGCCAGAGGTCAGGTCTGGCATCTTCCTCAAGAGATGGCTACCTTGTTTTAAGACTGGATCTCATTGGCTGGAACCCACTGGTTAGGCTAGGCTGGCCAGCAAGCCCCAGAGATCTGCCTGTCTTCCTCTCACCAGCACTGGAATGACAAACATCTCCACCAAGCCTGCCTTTCTGTATGGATGCTGGAGAGTAACTTGGATTCCCATATGTATGACAAACACTTTCCCAATTGAGTCATCTCTTCAGCCCTGACACTGTACCGGAGAGGCAAGTGTTAACACATATAGTAAATACAAAGGGGTAGGCATTGGTGGAATAAATCAATATAAATGCATGGGTCAAGAAAATTACCATTTCCACAGCATGTGTCCTTTTGGTCACATGTAGGTTGGAACAAGCTTTGCAGCACAGCTAACAAGACTCTATGCCTGGCCGTAGAAACGACAAATCTGACTTATGTCACAAAGCTGATCTCAGGCTCTGTCTCAGTCATTGCTTTTAGCAATTCTCTTTCCTGATTTTATTGTTCTCTCTCCTTTTGGACTCAGGGTTTCTCTCCAAAACAGCACCTGTTTTCCTTAGCAGTCTGTGACACCTCAACTCTTTCAAGGAGACTGTGGACTCTGAGACGATGATCTTTCTAGTTGTCTTTATGTTTTCTTTATACCTTTATATATTTATTCTTACACCTCACTGTTTTTATGTAATCTCTCTTTCATGATCCCCTGGAAGTCATGCTTCCTGTAATTCAGGTGATGAAGCGAATGCCATGGGTATATGGCTAGGTGTCTACCAGCCCCACACGGTGCTTACCTGGGACATGCCAGGTCCGGTCTAACCACAGTGCATTAGGAACGACCTCCAGTTAGGTGGTGTTAGAGGGAGTTTTATCTGAAAATGATTCCAAAACCTGCAAGAAACAAAGCAGAGAGACATCAGCTTTGAATGTTGATGCCTCTTTCTTGGCCAGAATTTTTTTTGGTGCCTGGTCTCAGCTTTCCCCAGAGGACAGTCTTGCCCTGCTATTTCAGTTTCTGAGTTTTCAGAGTCCCTTAAAACAGGATGACATCTGTCTGTCTGTGGTGAGCCCACTTTAAGGAATTCCCATTAGTGAAAGTAACCTTCATACAAGATACACAAAGCATCAGGTTGGAGTATTAGCGAAGGTGACCACATCCCCTTAGATGTGGGAAGGTGAACCTGCTTCCTGAAGAATGGTCTGGATGACTGCTGAACTAGACTCAGAAATGGCACACATAAGAACTCACCCTGAGGAAAGCACAGGAAATGTGCCAAAAGATGCAAACATGATTCATCCAATCACTGTTTCAAATGGTGAAAAGCTAGGAAGGGCTCAATGGCCAAAGACTGTTAAAGGAGGTCTGAATCCTGGTGTACAGTATCAGGTAGGCTGGCATTAAAATGCCCATAGGAGAAAAGATTTAGAGATGGAAGAATGACTGGTGGTGGCCATGCTGGGTGCAAGAGTGAGAACAGCAGTGTCCTCGCTGGGAAAACCTCACAGTGTGCTTGGAAACAGGGAAGGAAAGATGAACCAGATACCAAATATAAATTGTTTGCTTCTGTCTCCATCACTGTAGCTCAGACTCCTGGGCTCTGCACTGGCATATTGATGACTAAAGGGTATCTGCCTACATAACCCAGCTTCCTGCTAAAGCTAAAGCTAAGGATAAAGATGTAACGATAATTCACTATCCTAACCTGTGGTCATCTTGATTTCCAGAAAGAACAGAGCCCTCCCCCGCGCCTGCCCCTGCAAAACACCTCTGTACTTCACCACGAAGGGGCGAGGCTATACCAGGAACAGAAGTGACCTTCCTGAAGGACCCGGCTCATTCCCTGAAGTGAGAAGAGGTAATTAGGGCTTCTTCCATCCACCCTGCTGTACAGACTGAAAATTGAGGTAATGGCCCAGTCAGACCACAGCTTGGCTGGACTGCCAGAGTGTGCACACTTCCACCCTATCTCAATACCCTGAAGATGGATTTGAGCCACGGGTCCCTTTTATCTGCTTTTCCTTATGCAGTCACCCTGAGTGTTCTATGACCTCCACATGTATACCATGCATACATGCATATGTGCACATGTGCATACGGAAGAACTGTTCTGACTCCTTTGCCATTAACTAGCAAATTTGCCATTAATTAAGACAGAGGAAGAAACCTGGGGTGTCCTGTGTTTTTGCTCTACAGCACTTGTTACATGTGCTCTGTTGAAAATGAACAGGGCTGGAGAGATGGCTCAGTGGTTAAGAGCACTGACTGCTCTTCCAGAGGTCCTGAGTTCAATTCCCAGAAACCACATGATAGCTCACAACCATCTGTAATGGGATCTTATGCCCTCTTCTGGTGTGTGGAGTACAGCTACAGCGTACTCACATATATTAAATAAATGAATAAATCTTAAAAAAAAGAAAAAATGAATAAAACTTGCATGTTCCAACTCCAAGAATAAGAAGATGGGCAGGAAAGAAAGCTCTGGGTTGTAGTTGGACCATTCTAGAGGAAGTTGCAGAATGTCTATACTGATGTGGCACTGAGATACTGTGGTATCATTTCCCCCTACCCCCAACAATACGTGACATGTTATTGAAGACACTCTATCTACAAAAGTGTGGGTATGCAGAGATACAGGCCAGGAAGACGCATAGCCCTTTATCAAGAGTCATCCTGAGAGTGGGCAGAGGGAGGGGCAGGAAACAGGTTTTACACATAGGAGGGGCAATCGAAACCATAACGGCTGTAACAGACACATATGCCTACATTCTTTACACTTTAAAATACAGTTTTAAGACAATGAAGGGTGGAGGCTGCATGTGGTGGCTCACACCTGTTATCTCAGCATTTTGGAAGCTGTGCCAAGAAGGATCATGGGAGGTTTGGGAACAGCTTAGGTTATGTCATGACTTACAGCCTGATCCAGGCTATAGAGTGAGGGCCTGTCTCAACCAACCCAACCAAACAAAGAAAACCAGAATTGTAAAGGAAATAAGTTTTAAAAAATGTAAATGAATATTTTAATGCACTTGCTAGAGGGATTTACTTAAGACATTCTGATTTTAAAAAATTCTACTCTAACTAGTTTGTGTGTTTCTATGTGTGTGTGAATGCATGCAGGTGTGCATGGTGTCCATGTGGAGGTCAGAGAACAACTTTCAATAGTCATCTCTCTCCTTCCACCGTATGTCCCCCTGGGATTGAATCCAGGCCAGCAGGCTTACCAATAGAACCTGTTACCGCTAAACCATCTCTGCAGAACAGACATTTTAAATAATAGGAATTTTAAAAATTAAATGTTTTCATCTTTTCACAGGGCCAGTAGTGATGATAAGACTACATTTTCTTTACTGATCTTGTACATGTAAAAACAGAAAATTGTTCGTTCTCAGATTCCAAATATGGTCTTCATAATACATGGGGTTTCTGAGTATAAACAAGCACAAATACAGTGGGTTATTCCTGTAAACCATTCAGTCTACAAAACACTGAGTTCAAGTTTCTTTTTTTGTTAAAAAGAAGAGCCAGATATGATGGTATATTCCTGTAAACCCAGCCTCTGAGAGACGGTGAAGCAGAGATTGTCAGGAGTTAGCCTGGACTACAGGATGATATGCTATCTTAAAAACACAGAGAAAAAAGGATGGAGCCTCTACTATGTCTGCTAACTTGGGGAACACAGTCAGCCACTGACTACAACTTCCCTGTACACCCCCTGTGCCCCATGCCCCTCCCCCACCACAGCCCCGTGGCATCGAGCATTCTCAGGCTAGGCTTACAGATGATGGTATATATCAGGGTCCCGCTGCAATCGGGTCTGGAATCCGATATACAAGTCATCCCACAGCAGGCCGTTCTTCACCACATACCTGATGACATCCACACGGCTACGGATCTGAAATGGCAACACAGCAGCTCTTAGGGGGCCCTGGCAATGTGAGAGTTCATTCCCCCATATCCTCAGAAAAAGTAGCTGCCACGCTGGCAGGAGCGAAGAGCGAAAGAAAGGAGAAAGGGAGAAGCCTCCTGGATGCAGGTCACAGGCTGAGGATGGAAGGAGGGAGCCAAGAGCGCTGGGACAGAGTGGCAGAAAGCAGGGTGCCGATGAGAAGCTGGGCCAGCTGGGCAGATTCCACAGCTCAAATCCAGGGTCGAGCTTCACGATGTAATAACTACTACCTCAGTTTCTTCATCTATAAAATGAAGATTAAAGCTGACATTCCTCATAGAGCTGTAGGGAAAACAAGTAAGTCTATGACCAGAAAACACTTAACATGAGGTTATACACTAGGTGCTCAATAAATGATATTACTGCCAAAAGCAGCAGGCATGCTGCCGCCATCCTCAGTGTTCGTGGCAACAAGTGGGTGTGTCCAACCTGCCAAAGAGCAGAGCTCCCTTAAATCAGGAGATTAAAGTCTTTAAGGAATCCCTACCCCACCACCTGGACATCTCGGGGCATGTCAAGGGACTCGCTGGAAACTGGAGCCCCATAAAACATGTCTGCATTGACTTCCTCTCCAGAGATTCTCACTGAGCTCCCTTAGAGACCGAGATGGAATTCTGCTGTTGCCAGACTACTAAAATTTCCTCGGATATCTGAGGCTGGGCTGGAAGGAGGTAGATTCCCAGCAGGGAGCTTTCTTCATTCTCTGACCCTTGGGTATTAGTTGCCTGTGAACACATATTGAGCAGATAAGGATCCTTGGCTTCTGGCCTTGTTTGTGAAGAAGATTCTATTGGTTGGGTTTTATGGTATGTGGAGTTCCTGGGGCACTCTCCCGGTTCAGTCCTTGTTTTGTTTTGTGCTCTTGTCACTAATGTGTTTGACAGGTACATTTCAAAGAACTGTTACTATGAAAGCTCTGTTGAGCCATTTGCATTGGTTGTATGGTTATGTGCCAAGTCTCACGAATGTTTGTCACACTCCGTTTGCTTTTCTGTGTAGCCTGATTTGACATTAACCTTCAGATTTTGGCTTGCTCCTTACCTCCATATTTGAAGCATGTAAACCATTTAGATTCAGTTTATGTCCATGGCTGTGCAAGTGAATGGATAAATTATGTCTGCGGCCTAAGGCTTAAGTAGCCACTGGAGTGGGCCATGGCTGAGAGATAAAGATCAGGATTCTTAGAAAGGCATCTGATTTCCCCGGAACTTAAGCACACTTTGTGAGGATTTCTATTATATCTCATGGAGGCCTGAGAAATGGTGACTCTTCACTATTTTGGAGAAACCTGGAGGGAGAATCCAGGCTGACTAACCCTTTTGTCCTCTCCCAGTGCACCTTGGAATAATAGAACTTTTAATGAATCAGTTTTACTTTTGACAATTGGCTTAGGAGAACACTGGAAATGCCATGACTGTAGCAAAGGTCTTCTTACAGATTATCTAAGGTTCTCCTGGACACTGAAGAGTCCATGAAGTACCCAGGATGAAAATCCACCACAGTTGTAAGAAATCTAAAAAGCTGGTTGGCTGACTAGAACTTCATGGTGCTGGACAGATATAAACCATAGTCAAAATCATCCTAGGCTGTCTTCAGCTCCTTTAACAGCCACCCATCGCTGATCTGTGTCTGAGACAACATTCCCTTGTCTTATCAGACAAAACCTTTGGAATGCATTAACTTAGCAGACCACGGGTTTCCAACATCCCCAAACCTAAGAATGTCACCAAATAGCCTGTGAAGACTGTAGCAGAGCATTCCCTGCTTTGCTGTGACCTGCCTACCTGATGTTCTTCTCTTTGGGAAATTCCTTAAGACGTTACTTCATCCTGAAATTTAAAACTTCCTAAATCATCTCCATGTTGTAGAGTGTGGAACTTGGAGCAATACTTACTCGTGTCCCTAGGTCACAGTCACTTATATTTGGCTCAAGGACAAATCATGCCTTAGTTATTTTGAGCTGTGTTTCTGAGTCAACAGAAAGATGTGGTGGTAGGACAGGACAGTGGTAAAGACAGGAAGAGAAGGGGAGGGAAGGAGAGAGGACAGTGGGCAGGGGAAGGAGAGGGAGGGAGAGGAAGAGGAAGAGGAAGAGGGAGAGGAAGGGGCCCCACCGGGGGTCTGCTCACTTCTTCATAAGGATGCTCCCGGCTGGGTCTTTCTTTCGGAAAGGATAAATCTAGAAAGTCCACCAGATAGTCGTACCCTCCAGGAAGCGGGCTGAAGTCTTCATCTGTTTCAATCATCTGTGCAAATTACAGGACAGTAAATGGTAGAACATTCATCAAGTGGTAGAGGTCTTTCAGAAATGCAAACTCTATGGAAATCTTAAATACCCTAAAAGAATAGTGGTTACTTGAAATACCCCCTCAACTTCCTCCCTTCCTCTCTACTTCCTCCTTCCTCTATTTCAGTCTCTCTTGAGCTGATAGCATTACATCCTTCCACATCAGCAAAACTGCTTCCTCTCACTGCTCGAACTTCTGTAGCACAGAGCATTATTAGCAATGTGACAGCAAGGAGCACCGGAAGCCTTCAGATGGGGGAAATAAAATGTGGAATATGTCTCACATCATATAGCAGCTAAACAGAAATACATTCATTGGGCCAGCGAGACAGCTCAGCAGGTAAAGGTGCTTGCCACCAGGGCTGGCCACACAAGTCCAGTGCCTGGAACCCACAGGCTGGAAGGAGGGAACTGATTCCCATGAGTTGCGCTCTGACCTCTACACACTCACTATAGCACAAACACACGTACACACAGATACATACATACAGACAAACATATACAAATGCAATGTAAAATTTTAAAGAAGTATAATCATCAAAAATTCTTAAGATTTCATTTCCAAGCTGATTACCCAAGTGAAAAAATCATTCAGTTTCCCAGGGCTTAGGGTTTCAAAGATGATTTCCTTAAAAATAGTTGAGAGCTAATCTAAGTACCACCGTTTTATAATATTTAAAACAATATAAATAGTCTTATACCTATTCTTTTATGTCATTAAAAAAAGAATGTTTGAATGCCTCAAATATAAAAATTGTCTCATCTTAAAATAACTCATCCCAAGAAGGGGGTGGGTCGGGAGAGCTAGCATCTTTCACCAACACACACACACTCACACAGTGTTTAGTTCATCATTGACCAGGGAAAATATCGCTGCAGGCTGGCATGAAAAGTGTGCTTCTCGAGAACCGTGACTTTGGCGTACAGCAGGTGTGACCTGGTATTGATGCTCAGGGACTGCACAGTAAACTGGGGATTGGTCCTTTCCTGAGGGCAGCCAGTACCTGTGGGTGTCTGTGAATGCTGCCCACATCCTACTGTCATCCAAGACTGCTGCTTGTTCAACCCCAGGCACCAGATGTAAGTCAGGTGTCGCCAGTGGACCAATTGCCCTGACCACTGCCTACCGCGGGCCTCTTCTTTCTCTTGCACCCGCTGTCTGCTAAGTTTGATTGTTGCCATACTAGGTATTGAAGCCAGCGTCTCCTGCATGCAAAGCATGCGCTCTACACAGAGCTGCATCTCCAGCCTGCTCTGCTTTTGGCAGACCTTGAGAAGCATATAGCCAGAGCTTTGCACATGTGTGCTTTCTGAGAGCCATGCAGGGAGGACTGACAAGTGGCTTTAGAAATCATGGAATACATCCTACTGGTTACCACAACCATATGAGTGAGCCTCAGTGTGGCATGACCCTGAGGAGAACTCGTCCTGAGGATTTCATGCTGTTACAGAGTTCTACTCTGCTTGCTGGCTTCACATCCCTTTTAATCTAAGAGTTATATGAAAACCTTAAGGGGGCTTCTGGTCCCTCACTGAACAGTATCTCTGGCACTCACAATAATAATGCTTGGCCTCTTTCAGGCATTGTTGCTGCAGCAGATTAATGATTCAATGCCACCCTAGGAAGAACATAGAGACATAGATTGTCAGCAATGACCACCACTACCCTTAGAAAACATTTGGAAAAATGAAGGTGTTAGTGAAGCTAGGTTGAGATGTTTTGCTACTGTTTCCGATGTAGAAAACCTTAGGGAACCATTTGAAGTTCAGATAAACAGACTCTTACTAGTTAAGCAAGGGACCTTTTAAAGTCAGGGGACAAGAACAATGGCAGCCCTGGCTAATGAGACTCTCACTGAGGCTGGACTGGTGATGATTGATTTCTTATACTCATGTTTCCCCTCAGCTTTCTTAAGGTTTTCTGATGAGTATATACACTTTCTGAGGATTTGAGGTAGATATAACTGATTTTTATGTAAAAGTTTAGAGTTGTGATTCTTTTAACATTCTTACAAGATTACTTTTAAAGATAAATAATAAAACAATCACTCCTTTTTTGAAACTGCAAATTGCTGCTTGCCAATAAGAGAAACTGGCTGAGAAAACTGCCTTGCTTGCTCACACTTTGTTAGTCTATAACAAGTTGCTTAGTTAGAAATGTATGTGGGTTTGGGGAATAATTTATTTTCTTTGCCTGTATTATGTAATGTTATTTCTTGTAAAGATATTGGAGAACACACTGTTTTCTCATAATCATTCACTAAGAAAACAAAAATGTAATCATATTGTAATTTTATACTGCTTAAAAAAATTAGCTGGGATATATAATCTACAGAAGAAAGAAGAAAGTATGGGTGGCTGGAACATTGTTCCTTCCATCCATCAACTATGTGTATGTATGTATGTATGTATGTATGTATGTATGTATGTATATGTGTAAAGTTTGTGTGAATGGAGGTTGGGACATTGTTCCTTCCACTCATCAACTATGTATATGTATGTATATATGTTAAGCTGTCTGGGTGTATGTTGGACCATGCATGTATATATGTATGTATGTAGATGTGTGAAATGCTTGGAGCCTGGTTGCTGGAGCTTTGCTCTAACCACTCTATGTGAATGTGTATATGTCTGTCTGTGGGTCTGTATGCAAGTATGTATGCACATATGTATATATTAGTGTGTATAAAGTTATTGGATTTTGCCTTTTGCTTCATCTACGTGTGTGTGTTTTCTTTCTTTTCTTCTCTTTCTTACCGACCTCAAAGAGTTAAAAGAGCTCCTAGCTTTTCTACTGGCCACAGGAAGTGCCAGCTCAGTAAATTAAATTTTGTTATCTCAGAGAAAAGTCAGCTGAGGAACTTCTCTAATCACTGGCTACCTTTGGCATCAGCCCCTGTAGATGTCTGGATCCACTCCCCATCAGCAGCTCTAGCACTTACCCTCAATGGCTACTTGCCTCAGTTTACCCATCACATGAATGCCAAAGCTGGTAATTGGCATGTTATGGGGCTAATTCCTGTTCAGCATTCATGCTTGCCCCTGTTTTATGCTATTTGGTCCTTAGCACAGTTGCAGATAGGATTTAGTGGCTTCTGTCTTATGCTGTTCCATTGATGCCCCTCTGTGTGGACTCCACCATCTAGCCTCACAGTTAAGCATTCCTAGCATGTCAGACAATGTACAAGACAGCCACAAGGGAGCAGGGTGAGGGGGGGTTAATGAAGAACACATAGAAAGGGAACACCAGGAGCAGAAGGGTACAGAGGACAGGATTCCGGGAGGTGGAGGACCCAACCCAAACAAAGGACAGATGAAAATGCTGTAGGGAAACCTGTTTTATATGGTGGTTAAAAAGAAATCATTGTGATAGGAGAAAAAAATACTACAAAAGTTAAACTGAGCTGTGCTTAATGGCCCCTTCCGTTTCAAAGGAGAATTATTTATCACATGGCTCGTCTATTCTCTGCTGGACAGTTTGTACAGCTTCCCAAGTGCTAATTAGAAAACAAACTAGAAAGTGGAGGATTCCAAAGATCTCCAAATTACAAGAGAGTGGAGGCATACCCTGACCACCAGGTTGTAATTCTTAAATCCAGCCCAAGTGAAGTACTCTTTAATCCAGGATGAGTGAAGGAAGATTTCATCTTTGACAGCAGAATTCAAGATCTTCAGGTATGGGTCAAAGTCCCAGGAATCCTTGTAAATTTTTGTCCCTTCTGGAGGCTCCACAATGCCCTTGCTTAAAGACACAGAGATGAGGAGGGTCGGTCAAAAAAGCAGTGAGACGTTGAAATGATTATCAGAATCCTTCCCTAGCCTAAGCCACACTGTTTCCTACACACCATGTAATAGGCAAGGCTCCCAAGTCATATTTCATTGACTAATCTTGTGTATATCTGGAGATTGAAAGGCACAAGATCCCTGATTGGGACCCTTTTGCTCCAAATTACTAGGTGATGGAGATGTTGAATATAATCGGCTTGTGCCAACTTTGTGGATGTTGGCACTCAGACGCTTCTGCATCCCAATTAGGATAAGCATTTGGTGAAAGAACAGAAGAAAATCAAAATAGCTCCTACTGGGAGTAGGGGATCCTAAGACTCAGCAAGCTAAGAAACCTCAAAGGCTAAACAAGACTCCATCCCCAAGCTATATAAGCCAGCTACAGGGAATGGGGTGTTGAGGGGATGGGGGTGGGGGGAGGGCACCCTTCTTGGGAGCTGCCCACAGACTGCTCTGGGAGTTCCAGGGATGCAGCTTTTATGAGTGGAACTGTATCCAGCTTGGAATTTTCTGTAATAAGTTGCCTTTGATCCAATCATATCCCTATAAGTGGCCCCAATGAACTCACTGATTCACCAAGCTACACTCGGGTGGGTCTGGTTCTTTGGTCTGTTAACGTGTCCTTCTGGGTTGAACAAATGTTTATTTACATCTCCAGTAAAAGTCAGACCACATGGTGCCCAGCAAATATTTGAGCATACAAATGACTTTCGCCTATAGTACATTATTGTCTCAGATATATTGTGTTCCGGTTCTTAATCAAACTCCGGCTTACAGACAGATGTCCACTTTTATATTTCAATCCGGTTAGTCATACAGACAGTCCTAAAGCTCTGTTCATTCTGGGGAGATGGCTCCCTACATGGAACGTGGACTCTTGGATCTCGAGAAAGTAATGGGGTGTGAAATAAACAAGGAAAACTCTACGGAAGCAAACACACCCATGTCTATTAAATGTTTGCAAGCAATAGCAGATGTCTGTCTTCTCAAAGCTTCACTTTGAGTCCATCATGTCTCCAAGGTTACAGAGGCACTTTGGTATCACTTCTGAAATATATCTCCAGTCTCCTCTAACTCCTTGCCCAGTGTGAGTTTGAAGTGTCAACATCTCTTCCTGTGAGAAGCCATAGCTTTCCCTCTGGCCTCCTGACTGCAGAGGCGTAGATTTAATTTCCTCTCCAGTGCATTCTCCCCTACAAAGTTGAGGTGTTTCTGGAAGCACAGCTCAAGATTGATTTTCCTTTGCTCTGTCATTTTCTGTGGCTCTCCTTATTTGCAGGACAGGTTCAAAGCCCTGATCTAGGAGGCCATGCTGACCCTGGCCTCCATGTGGTATCCCTGCCTCCTCCTGCCTCCACTTACCAGCTCTGAACTCATGGCTAGGAGGGCTCCCTGAGGACCAAGGCTTCTTCCTGCTGTGTCCTCTGTAATTCTGGCACCCAGTGTCTCAGTGAGTCATTTATGGATCAACAGCACTCATGTACTAACTTTGTTGTTTGTCTATGCCCTGCCCTTCCCCAGCCAGGCCATGGCCTCTGACTAGAAAATTTCATTCTCACCCTCTCTTCCATCCTTTTCCCTATCTCCTCTTCCATGTCCCTCCTCTTTTTTTTTTTTTCTGTCTCTCTTGTACTTGTAACCATCTTCTCATCCCTAAGTCCTGGCTAAATGCCGACTATTTCAGACTAAGATTCTGTGACCACAGTCCTAGATTTCTTGTTTCTTCCTCCTTCACAAGGCAGTATATGGTGGCTTTACTATATGTTAGCACTGAGATGAAACTGTACTGGTTCTTGTTTCCCAGAATGCTTTGCTGTGACTCTATCTCAGACCTGTCGTATCCTACATATCCCTGAGGGAAGCCCAGGTTCTGCATTTATCAAGGGCATTGGTGACTCTGATGTCTATAAGGGTGACAGTATAGCCGCATGCTGTAGGACACGATGAGAGGCCTGCACAAGGATGAGTCAGGAGGCTTAGAAAGATGCCAAAGAAGAAGGAAGGCCCTTGAAGGATGATTATTAACTGAAACAATCAAGAAACATCTTTACTCTCCATCTGGGCATCCTACCTCTTCCATGTTGGAGCACTTGGGACCTCTCAAAGAATTTTAAGAAATTTTAACTTTCACAAGGATTTGCTTGTCAGCAATAACGAGAGAGCTTTTCAATATTTTGCCCATAATTCCTATAAGAACTATTTCATGTGGGGATGGGGTGGGAGAACAAGGTCTTACTCCGTAACCCTGAAACAAACCAGGCTGGCTTTGAACTTTTGGTAATCCTCTTGCCTATTGAAGTACTGGGACTAGAGATGTGAACCATCACTCCCAGCTAAGAACTGTTTCTACCAGGTTGTAAAGTTATTCCAGAAACTAAACCTTTACTATATGCAATATACTTAGTTTTTATTTCTACTGGTGAATGTGAATTTCACTTTTGAGTGAAAATACTGGTTATAACCAAGGACCTTGGTTCGGTGGTCAGTCAGTGGATCACAAATTGAAAATTGTGATTTGAAAATTAAATTGCAGGCACAAACAGAGGGAGGACCAGGATGGGAGGGGCACAACAACGAACCAGGGAACAACAGGCAGGGTCAAACCCTGAGTGAGTGGTGGGGCGAGAGCATGCCAGGGAAGGGTAAGCTAAGTGACTGGCCCATGAAAATGAGAGCTGACCAGGCTGTAGTCATACCTAGGAAGTCAGCAAAGAATAACACCAGCTGCCCTGCTGTCCACTTCCTGTAACATCTGCACTTCTATATGTGGGGAGAAATTTATGACTACGTGGCTCAGGATGTGTACTTACAAAACTACAGGCCTCTTGAGTCAATATTAGCTCTGTTGGAATTGCGTTTCCTTGTTTGATATTTTGAAAAGTGCTGCTAATATTATAGATCATGCTTGCATTGAGGTGAAAACTAACCCTTAGAGCCACCAAACATGGGAGCCGGCAATTGAAGTCTGGTCCTCTGTGGTAGCAGTGAATACTTTGAACTACTAGCCCCTTACCCTTTACTATCTAAGAAGGCTTTGGGGGATGAGAGCACTTGAACCATTATAAAGGATAACTTAATGTACTGTAGAGTAGCGACCTGCTGTGAGTCAGGAGGTGAATTCTTTATCATAATATTCAAAAAATTATATAAGATATTTTTATCCCTCATAAATATTTAAGCCAAACCTGTCCGTTGGGTCCTTCAGCATCCTGCCCAGGTCAAGGGTAGCTCCAGGTCGAGGGGTCCATGTTACCACATCAGAGTTTTTCTTAATAAGATTGTTGAGCTGATTTGGATCATTTTTGGTGTTTGTTTCCTTAATATACCTAAGAGATAGGAATATTCCCAGATGAGAAAGTTTATCCTCTGGTGTGTATGGCAGCAACAGGGAACATTTTGGTTTACTCTTTAACCCCACTTTAATTCCAATCTTCCTCCACACATATCTAAGAAAAATAAAGACCATATTTGGGCTATTGTCCCTAATTAGTCGAGGAAGAATGTATCTTTTGTTCTCTTAAGTACATCCAGGTGGTAATTGGAATTAAGTGTGGACCATGAGTAAGCAGAGGAATTTACACACAGGCAGTAATCGCACAGTCACACTGAGTGTCAACCAGAATGAAGAAAGATTGGCTATTACTTGGTAGGTGTTATACTAAGTGCTTGATACAAACTTATCAATGCTTTACGAGGTTACTACTATCACTGCCTTCACTTCCTAGAAATGGAAGCAAAGACTGCATACCACACAGCCTGCACAGGCTCAAACTACAGATAAGGCCCCAGGTTCTCTCTCCAGCTTTCAGAATAAAGTCTGAAAAGTCTCTGCATTCAAAACCATTAAAACTGTACCTGTTATCCTTAGGGCTTGCTGGCCAGCCCAGCAATGACAGACTGACTCAAAAACACAGTCATATACATGCACACACTACACCCTCATACATATGTATGTGTGCATACAAAGAGAAGGGGACAGGGAAAGGCAAGACAAGACAAAAAATTCCACTGTTTACAGAAGAGCACATATCCTCAGTTATAGCCCTTCCTGAAACCTGCTTCCTCTTTCCTTTCCTTTCCTTTCCTTTCCTTTCCTTTCCTTTTCTTCCTTTCCCTTCCCTTATTTTTCTTTTCCTTTTCTTTCTTTCTTTTCCTTTCCTTTTATTTTCTTCCTCATTCATGAAAGGTAAGGGCTCTACCGCAGTCCTACATCCTTAGCTCAAGGTCTAGAATTTAATTGTGCTAGTAATCAAAGCTGGACATCCCCCAAATCAAACTCCAAACCACCACTTTTCTCAAAAACAAAACCAAATCCTGTAACTTGTTAATTTCCACATCAAACTGCCATTTGTGTTGGGACAGAAAGTGATCCAGTCAGAGAAAACGGATTTGTCGCTGAGTCACCAGATGGTTACTAAAGAGAATTTGGCTAGTTTGACCTGTAGGTTGGTTCTCTAGACCTTATATTTAGTCAGATAGCTAAGTAGAACATGAACAAACATCTGTGTTTCTTTCTTGAAAACACTGTCACTGCCCTTAAAAGGTGCCCATGGCTTTGTCCTTGCTCCTGACACCAGCATCTTCCTACTGCTCCAGTTCCTGTGTGGGCGTGTGCATGTGTGCACCTGTGAGCATGTGCATGTGGAGGCCAGAGGTAGGCATTTGCACCTTCCTCCACCACTCAACTTAATTTTTTGAGAAAGGGTCTTTCACTGACCTGGAGCTCACTGATTGGCTGGGTTGGCTGGCCAGCAAGCCCCAATGAGCCATCTGTGTCTGACTCCCTAGTTCTGGGATTACAGGTGTACATGGCCAAGCCCAGGTTTCACACGGGTGCTAGATGCTAACATGGGTCCTGGTGCTTGTGTAGCAAGCATGTGACTCCCAAGCTACCTCCCCAGATCCTCAGTTCCCAGTAAAGCAGCTCTATCGCTGGTGTTTCCCTTCTCAAGCCTACAGTGGCTTTCTCTGCTGAGGGGCTCCGTCTCCTGAGCCAGAGTACTGTCCATCACTCTCTCCAAAGCACAAATCGTGTTCACAGACTTCCATAACTGCATCATGCATTTCTATCTCTTTCTCTACAATAGTAATGAACTGCTTACGTATGGAATTGTAGTTTATAATTACTTTCACTGACAGCAGTGTGCTGAAAGTTTGGGTACCTCCTAAATAAATACCCACTTCCTCCAGCTCTCTTTTTGTTTTGTTTTTGTTTGGTTTTTCGAGACAGAGACTCTCTGGATAGCTCTGGCTGTCCTGGTACTTACTTTGTAGACCAGGCTGGCTTAGAACTCAGAGAGATTGGCCTGCCTCTGTGTTCTCAGTGCTGGGATTAAAGGCTTGTGTTGTACACCACACCCAGCCCTCCAGCTCTTCTACAAGACCCTGTGCTTCCAGCTACTTAATGTTTCCTTCATCCCATTCTCATTCACTTTCTCCTGCCATTCACCTGGGCAACTGTGATAGTTTTAAATTGGTCTCCAAACCAATGTTTGTTCCTCTTTTGCCTTTCTTACAATATGGATTCACAGCCTGCCAACTAATTATGGCCACCTTCCTCACTAGACTTCACTGGGATTCCCAAACCTTCAGGAAAACCCCTAGACTGTTTATCACCGTGGTTCCTGTCCGGGTCCCCCACTTCTTTCCTCCTTTCCTCATAATGTCCCCTGTCCAAGGCCTCAGGCTGAGCTGCAGAATCTCTCCCTAAAACTCATCTTCCATATGGTCTCCATGTGTAGCTAACAAGGGCCTGGAACTTTCCATGCAGACCTGGCCTTGAACTTTTGCCAATTCTCCTTCCTTTGTTCCCGAGTGCTGTTGTTATCGATGTATGCTACCACGTTCCATCATAGACTATAGTATCCCAGCTCAGCACCTTTTTACCTTTTCTGGACAGGCTTACGTGGTCTGTAAACGTAGTTTTCACTAGTCCAGAAGGCATCCTCTTACCACCTGTCTCCAGCTTAAATCCATGAAATTTGCTACCTGGTATTATAATTGTTTTTTCTTCCTACAAACTAGACCTCTGAGGACAATTATTTTACCTCCAGTCATCTGTGTCACCCAGTCCCCTATGCTCTGTATTGTCCTGTCTCATACCCCAGCCCTCCACCCTCTGTTCTCCATTCTTTGCCCACCTCCACCCCTGTCTTGAGGGTTGTGCTACTCCATAAACAATATATCACAAAAAGCAGAAACTATACTGGCCACAAGAAGTTATCTTTTAACCTTAGGCCACTCTTACTAAAATGCATTTAAAAGAGTCAAGAAAGCTAGGATATCAACAAGGATATAGAAAAGAAGAAAACATCAATAACAAGTCACACTGGGTGTTTCCAGGGGCCACATGGTGAAAGATAGGTTATTAGCAAATTGGTCCATCATGTCTAATCATAAGACAAATAAAATTGTAAGTGTTGAACAGTTGTTTGTTTTGACAAACAGTGGTAGAGCCAGAGCTTAAATCCCACAGCACTGCCCCTTCTGGGTAGCTGTCGCCACGTAACAGTAAGTCAAGGGCCATCCTTGAATGATTATTGCCATGAAAATTTATTTCTGAGACTGGCTTCTTTACTACTCAGTGAAATCATAACAACACAGATCTAATCACTCCCATCTGAAGGTGATTCACAACGTTGCTGTTTGAGGATAGGCAGTCTGTGTCCCTCTTACCCCCAAGTCCGAAAACATTATGCCCTAAAATTGATTTTCATGGAGCCAAGGGCACTTGTTCATAAAGTCCCTGCTAGAATTCAGTCACCGCGTGTGACATCTGTTAACCACACTATGTATGTAACTACAACAACAAAAATTATAAGAGCAGAATTTAAACATTGGTAAATTTTTGTTTAGCACTTAAAACGGTAAAATTAAGCCAGACCTGGTGGTGAACGGCTGTAATCCCAGCACTCAGGAGGCCAATTTGGTCTGCATAGCAAGATTCTATCTCAAAAACAAAAACGTAAATGAAAACTAAAATAAAATAATAAGATGTAATATTATGTTCCAAATATTACAAAATCGATATTTATTTATTTTCTCAAGAGACTGTGAACTCTATAAAATATGCATTTTAGCACAACTTGTTTGTGCTACAAATATGACTAAAATACTCTCTTTTGGCTTTGGAGTCTTTTTTAGAATCATTATGTCTGTAAAATTATATATACATATATATGTATATACATGTATATATATATATATATATATATATATATATATAAAATATGGAAGTAGGAATAAAATTGTCTAGAAGACTAATGGGAGGGGAAGAAAGGAAAGGTGGGGGCACAGGGTAAATATATGTAACATGCAGCTATATACTTACATAAAAACTTTTAAAAATAGATACATCTTTAAAGGAGAAGAGAAGGGTCGATGAGATAGCTCAGCAGGTAAACACACTTGCCACAGAACCTGCCAAGCTGAGTTTAATCCCTGGGACCTACACGTTAAAAGAGAACTGACTGGTGCAGGTTGTCTTCTGACCCCACCCTGCCACTAAAGAAATAAATATAACTTATAATTTTTCCATTTTTAAAGAATAATCATGTTTCCTAACAGCAGTCAGAGGACAATAGTAGGTGAGCATGAGCCAAAAATAACAATCCACATAGATAAATATCATAATGAAATCTAATGTTTTATATACTGGTTTAAAACTTAGCAAGTTTGTCCTTTGTCCTTTATATTTAAATATACTTAGACTCAATTGCTTTCATCTTTGTGGAACACAGTCCCCTGGGCTTTAGCCACATGCAGACTTGTATAAGCCCCAGTCAGAATCACTCCCCAAACTTTCTTGTATTAGATTATATTGCCTCTCAACTTCTCACCTCTTCCTATAACTGGTCTGTACTTCATTCCCATAGACTTGTTTTTTTTTTTTTTAATTGTCATATAATCTACATCATAAGGTTTACAACCTTTTGAAACTGCGTTCTTTCACTTCACAGTGCCTATTAGATTTATTCATCTGCTTATGCCGTAAGAGTTCTTACTGTGAACCAGAAGGCATAACTCATAAAGACGTTCTGTCTGGGAATTTAGTTACTACTTGTGCGGGCCTGGAAGTAGATACATCGTATGTTAAACTAAGTAAGATTTAAATATCGGTAAAACTGTAGTTAGCCTTTAAAGTGATAAAACTAAGTTAGGCATGGAGACAAACCTGTGATCCCAGCACTCAGAAGCTTAGAGTAGAGAATCACAAACTTCAACTTATCCTTTCCTGTGGCATGTGGGCTGATGTGATAATTATGAACATGGCTACTGTTTATTTTCATATGGTTTTATGTGAATAAAGATTTGGATTTCTAAAAAG